GAATATTTGAATACTTCAACCAAAAATACTTTGATTCATGAGTTTCTTCCAGTTTTTTTTGTCCTTTTGTGTTTATTGTGAAATTGGTCTTAAATTCAATTTAATTTGGCATTAAAAAGTCTTAAAAAGTCCTAATTTTAACTTGCCTTAAACTGTAGGAACCCTGTTTTAATGATTGTTAGGATTTCCACCATAAAAACCCAGATAAATAGACAACGTAAGAGGAACAACACAAAGTTCCTAGAGATTTTTTTCTGTATTTGACAGTCTTCATCTTTTAAGGAAAACTGACCCAAGTAAATCTGTTCTGGTATACTTTTGATTGCATTATTTAATCTTAAATCTAGTTCATGCTGAAAGCAAACCACTTTTCATTGGGTCAGTCCCCTGTTCTTATTTTTTCTTCATGCCAGGGACATAAGGTTTCTTTAAATCACTCGTCATCCCATCCCATGTGGAATGGCTTTCAACAAAGAAATACATGTGTCTCGGTCTGTCCTTGACTTCACACTCCTGTGGGCGAGATGAAAGTGAAACACATTGCATAAATAATAACCATCTTTGGGTTATTTAGGAATAAACTCCTATCCTTGTTATTGTTAACTAATGCCTCGCTGCCCCCTCCATCAGATTCAGGCACAAGAAATACTAGTAAGACAAGATTCTCACTGTGTGTGTGTGTGTGTGTGTGTGTGTGTGTGTGTGTGTGTGTGTGTGTGTGAACATTTTGTAAGACTATGTGCACACCACATGTCTTGTCGAGGTTTCAACAGGATGCCGGCATCCTAATCGGAACCTGATTCCACGATGTATGAAGTTATTTTTAAAATGCCATTTGTGCACCATATGTTGTGCTGATATCCATAAATCTTGCCCCTCCCTCACTTTCTGCCTTGAGCAATTCAAGAAAAACACAAAAAGCTATTTAAGAAACTTAAGGGATATCATATTTACAAATTGGTTTAAATTAGAAAAGCTTTATTTCTTTATGGAGTTTGTTTTACTCCTGAACTGACCTCTTTTTCTATGGAAGCTATACGTACCGGTAGTACCTGTACGAGCTTTATAGCCTGGGAACGTTTTTTAGCAGCTTGTCCTTTTTATGTGTTATGAGTCTGATTTGATAAACTTTTCCCCAGATTTGTCATCCCAGTGCTCAAGAGACCACTGYACTTAGTCAGCACATTTGTAAAAAGTTAAAACTGCTAAAATATTTTATTCTGGCCTTCTAAATGAGACGGATTTATTGGAAGTGGGAGGAAAAGACAGAGAGGTCTTAGATGTGTCTTAAAGCTGGATGAAACACAGAACTAGAATGAATAATTACAATTGTGACACAATGTTTGCCTTGTGTGTTTTACAGCTCGCCCTTGACAGTTATRCCAGCCCAGCTTTAATGTAATTTATTACTATGTTGTCAGAATGAAGCTGACAACACAAGGAGGCTTTGAGCAGCAGAAGCAAGGGATTCGTGGCAGAAAGAAGTGCAGATGAGATCTCTCAGCTTTTAAATCCCGAGCGTCCTCTGACCTAAGGAATTTAGTGATTTAAAAATGTGTTTAGCTCATGTTTACTGAGGTGTTTAAAAACTGCTCGCATATTCTGTGTGCAGACTGTAGACTTTGTTGATGTTTTTTTCTGTCTATGTTTTTGTGAGAAGGTAATAGATAAATGAACGAGCTCAATCTGGTTTTGTCATCAGTCATTGTTCACGTGGTGAAACAATGTAGCTCAGCTGAACTTCACTTTCAGAAAAAAAAGTGTTTGTGTCTGTACTCTGGCATTCACTATAAGACAAGAAAGATCAAAATGACAGTTCAGACACTTCATATTTATTGGTGGTTCCTAAGATTGAATATGTAATGATGTGATTCAGATGTTCTTCATCAGTGAGACCCAACAGTCATGCAGTGTGAATTTCATACATTAAGCTAAAGTTATCATAAAGATTTGTCTGAGTGCAGCAGGAGAGGGGTGCTTGAAGTTAAATTCACTTTTTCCTAATGTTCCCACTGTTGTTTTATGATCTGTTAGTTATCAATGCTAAGATGAGGAAGTACTTCCTGCAAGCCAATGATCAACAGGACCTGGTGGACTGGGTCAACGCTCTCAATAAAGCCACCAAGATCACTGTGAGTCAAACCCATGCATGGCATGAAATCTTTTCCTGATTTGWCCGTGGACCAGTTCTTTCAAGCTTCTTTTTTCCCCTCTCTTTTGATTAAACTGAGTACTTTCAAGGAATTAGAAGTGATTCAAAGCATGACTAACAGGATGCTGCATTGTCGTACTGAGTTTTAAGATGAAGAGCGGTGTCTATTGTTCTCCATAAAGTCTTAGCCATGCAAAAAGGAAACGGATGTAAAATGTGTTGCAGGCTGCTCAGCTTCTGCATATGACAATTTACATATTTTATTTTAATTACAGAGCAAATGGGTGTTGTCCAACTTATAACAGAATACAACATGTAAAACATTTCTGTCCAATAACTTGGTACGTGTTTGTTTTTTCCCCTCTATCGTAGGTGCCAAAATTGTCTGACAACCAGCAGAACTCAGACAACCAGAAAGCTTTGCCTGATGTCGTAGGAGCCAAGAAACAAGTTTCCTACAAGACAGAAATAATTGGAGGAGTGCCCATCGTTACTCAAACGCAGGTAAACATGTCTCAAACTTCAAATTGTTGCAAAAACAAGAGTGACCTACTGCAGTGTACAAATATGACCTAATCCTAATAAGGTTTTCATGAATAGCATGCACTGTTACTTCTGCTTATTTATAGTAAAAACACAACCTGGGAAGGCCTCTAAAAACAAATTAGGCCTGTTGTGTTAGGTCAGCTGCACCTGTTTCAGCATGCTCTGTTAACTATTCAGTATGAGGCTTACTGCTTATTTATTATTTTGAGAACCAAGTCTTTATTACTTTGCCAGACTTAACTGCCTGCTCATATAAGTCTTAAGCTGTTTTGGTTTACAGGAAATCATTCAGTTATTTTGGGTTATTTCTTTAAAAAAGAAATGCAAAAGCAGGTGATTGAATTACAAAAATGAAACAATCCCAGCGYCACTGTGTGTTTTCAGTTGAAACAACAAATTTGTAAGAAGGTCTAGAGAGTATATTCTCTCCCAGAACCATGCTGTTTCTTAAAGACAGTTCCTATAGTTAGCTAAACAAATGGTTTCTTTCAAGTTTTCTGACATTTCTGTTTGTAGCTTTTGCTTCAGTTTACTTAAAATCTGCAAAAATAAAGGCCATTCCCCGAGCTCAATGCAGTATTTTTGCCTAATTTGATCTTCCAGCATGAAGGTGGTGACGGTGCTAACAAATTGGAACGGGAGGCCATGCAACGCTCCCACAACCAGTTGCCGTATTTTTTGAGCAGGCCGGCTCAGGAGAACACTGTCATTAAGTCAGGCTACTGTGTCAAGCAAGGAGCTGTGGTATGTGACGTGTATGAGGATCAATTAGCTGCAAGCAAAGTTCAGTTGACAAATTCAATATTTAGAGGTGTTTTCAAGAAAAGTGTTATGTTTTGATGTGTTTTGATGTGTTTGAATCTAAGATGTGAGCTGGGTTGTGGTTAAAATTTCCAAGATTAAACTCCAAACTTTACAGTAGTTGTCTATAAGAAGAATAATAAGCCAGCCACTTGATTAAAGGACAGTGTGTGTGAATATACAGTATATTGTACATTTTTAAACTTTATTTTACAACAATACAACAAATGTCATGTTTCTCCTGGAAAACACATAAACAAACTGAACATCTTATCTCCTTTTTTTCACAGATGAGGAACTGGAAACGGCGATATTTCCTCCTGGAAGAAAACGCGATGAGTTACTTTAAGTCCGATTCGGTAATCAGATTTAATTCCATAAAACGAAGACGTTCTTCAGGAATATTTTTTTCTGCATGATATTTGTGGATTTGCTTTGTTCTTAGATGAAGTAACAGCATTCAAAGAGCCAAGTTTCAGCTTGCTTTATTCACAGACTGGAATTCATTGCCTTCACTTCACGTGTTCAGTCATGTCTTTGATAACCTGGCCTTCCTTACACACACTCACACACACAACACACACTTTCCTGAGGATAACCCGTACATCCCTTATCCTGTCCTTGTCGAAGTCTGCCCCCGTTTGACAAGTTTATCAGTGTATTTGACTCAACGGCCCTAAAGGATGCCGACGCTCTGTCTGCTGAGCAAGAACATTAAGCGTGAGGGTTTTTTAGTTGGATATTTGTAAGGTGCTACTTCTAGGACTGTTYGTATTTCTTGGCTGTGAAGAGAAACTAAACTTGGGCCTTTTGTTTCATATAAAAATAGATAAAAGTATTTAACCTGAACAGTATTCTTGTTGCCATTAGGAGAAAGAGCCTCTGAGGATGATCCCACTAAAAGAAGTTCACAAAGTCCAGGAGTGCAAGCAGAGGTATTTTAACATGCCCTGACATTTTCTTATCATACAAAAATATGTCTTTGTGTGTGATAAAAACAAAGTTATAGATCAGGTAAATAGGATTCAACTTGCTTCTGACTTTCTTGCAGTGACATCATGATGAGAGATAATCTGTTTGAAGTTGTCACCACATCAAGGACATTTTATATCCAGGTATGCTGTTTTTGGTCTTTCATTCAGATTTGCATTGGAGCTCTCTGATGGTATCAAACAGCCAGATGTTTTTTTCTTTTTATATTTTAACCATTCAGGTTGTATCTTCTTCCATCATTTGCCTCTTTTTGATTTCATTCTTCGTGTTGTTTTTCTTCTCTTTTCCAGGCGGACAGTCCAGAGGAGATGCACAGCTGGATCAAAGCTGTGTCGGGGGCCATTGTAGCTCAGCGGGGTCCCGGGAGGTCAGCAGCTACAGTATGTATTGTGCACAACAACACAGCCCAAATTGGCTGGAATCAGAAATTTTGGGAGAGGAAATGACTTAAACCAGAACTTGAGCTTTACAGCGACATCTAGTGGTGAGAAGAGACAATTTGTGGCTAAGATTATATTCATCTGTTTCTTATTCCCACACAAGGTCAAGCTCCTGAGTGGTGAACTAAAATGATAATGATAATAAAAAGCTTTATTATTATGTAATTTATCAAGCTAGCTTTACAGTGTGCACCTTCATCTCATCATGACCTATCCTTAATTTAAATTTCTGTTTTTTCACCATCCACAAACTACAGACTTTTTATGCGCTTTTTAAAAATGTTTATTAGAAAATCAACAGATGGTATATGTCAGTAAATGGATTGGAGGCTGACAGATGGAGAGTAACACAGGCCCTCAGYTTGACATGAACCATGTGGAACTACCTGAATTTTGATTAGATCTGTCGAGAGACAACATGCGGGAATAAAAAGCACGAACCTGGCAGGTGACGAGACATGAACCACTAATCAGTCAGAGGGAACTCAAGCCTCTGCCTCAGTTCTTTAGGTTAGACTGGACTCAGTCTCCTTAAAGTTTTCTGTCTTTTGTCTTTCTTTCTCTTGCTTATTCTTCTCCTATATCTCTCTGTCCTCTTTTTCTTCCTCCCCTTTTCCTTAGTTTGACCCATTCTCTCCACTGCCTCCTCTCCCGGTGGGAAAACGGCCCTTCTGCTCTAACCCTGCTTTGCACTGTGTTGTTGCAGATGCGGCAGGCCAGACGGCTGTCGAAYCCTTGTATACAGAGGTATACGTCCCGAATTGGGGAGTGCAGCAGCACGTACGTCAGCTCGTCTGAACCCCCCCCACCCCCTTTATAAGCTATAAGTTCACCTTTTCAATACCTTCTTTTCCTCTCACTGGCTGGCCCTTTTKGTTTTAGATATTAGCCGTTTTCACACATGAACAACCAGACATGTTCAGACGAAGGTACCGACGGTTGCTTTTACCTCTTCGAAGTGGGCACTTTTCTGCTKTAGATGTGCTTATTATACAGCATGAAATGTGAGGAAGGGGTGGAGGAGGAACGATTGTCTAAAGTGCAAAAGAGGAGGACATGATCCAAAAAAAAGTGTTGCTGAAAGCTTTTTAAGATAATAAAAACAGATCAGGTCTTTAATAACATTTATTAAAATCACATACATTTGCATGTATCAAGAATTGTAAGAAACAACAGGTTATCTAGACAAACATAAGCTTGTTTATTTTTTCATTTATTAAAAATGGAAGATTTGAAGATATATTTGCACACTTTCTCAACTGCTCATTTCCACATGTTGCCCTCAAAAATGTCTGCAAGGAAATTCGAGCAAATGCTGCCGCTTCGAAACTTCTCTAGAACACTTCGAGGCTTCGCTGCACGTGTGAAAACGGCTATTATGAGAGAAAATCAGACTTTAAAACCCATCTGATGCTCTCCTTTATTTATTGTTTTGTGCTAAGWACCGACCCCATCCCAAGTATGGCTGCAATAACTCAGCAGGCCCTCCTCTCTTCACGCCCTCATTCTTACCGCTTTTCTTGTTTACCTCCTTCCTCCTTTGCTTTTACTTTGCTAAACTGYGACATAAAGTTCGTTTGAGCTCAAAACTGCTGCATTCAGGATGTTTTTAGTGAAGACGAGCGAATCTCTTTTATGAAGCTTTGAACGTCAGGCTGATAATTCCTGCATGCAGAACAGCAACATTAGACCATAGTCAAACACTTCATACATAAACTTAAAATGTCATCATTTTTCAACACGAATCTATGAGATAYATCTGATAGAGTTGAGCAACAACACATGAAAAGATTTAGTCACAAAAGGAAATGTAGAGTCTGTTTTAGCAGCAGAAAGAATGATGTAAACAACAAAACAAGTACCGTGTTGACCTTTTCTTTGTTAGCACAAGATCCACACTACATGTTGGTCAGGCGCAAAGCTGTTCACTAAAATAGCCTCCCCCAATAGGAAGTCTTTTTGTTACAGGACTGATAAAAAATGATGTAATAGGACAAACAGTGTGTTAAACTTGTTGTGTCTGCCAGTTTCACTTCACAAGAGTAGCCCTCTTTTTTTATATTTTTTTAAAAACGCTGTATGCACTCAAAGTCCTTCAAAGTAAAAGACGTTTTATACCTTTCATATATAATTCAGCCTTTTTTGTCTTTTCAGCTGCACCTCTCCTGAGTATTAACGCTATCTATTATTTTTTGTAGCAGAATGCAACAATAAAAAAACATCAGATTAAGTATTTTTTCCCAACATCATGCAGCRTTAGTCAAGAATCTTAAGGCTCAAAGTGTCTCTTTTGCATCTGACAGCTGTCCACTCCTGTTAAGCTTACCTTTTTCAAATGCWGAGATACTGTTTTTATTTTTCTTTCACTGCTTTAACTGTTTCCATGAATAATGTTTATAGCTGTGCAGTTCATGCAGACGTATGCCSTGTGCCCGTCCTCCAGCTTGTCTTTGAAAACTGTTTCAGTCTGTGTCGTTACTGCTGTCGTTCTCWCCTCCTCTTCCCTTCCGTGCCTTGTTCTCTCTGCAGTCTGCTGCAGCTGTGTACCTGTCTTAGATGTGTGACTTCCTGCTTGTCTCTTCTCTTCCCTCCTGTCCGCTGCCTGTATGTTTTTCTCTCCCTTTCTTATTGACATGAAAAGATATCCGTTTCCATGTTAACTTTCTATACTTTTGTGTGTTAATGATGTGATAATGAAAGAAGCTCTCACTGCTTATTTCTCATGTCTGAAGCCACAAAAATCTTGGTCTTCATAAAAATTGATTTAATAAGAGTTTTTGTGGTTTTAAGTGCTAATCTAGTTGGCTGTGTCCAAATTCAGGATCCGCATCCTTTGAAGGACCCGCCCTACCTGGTCTATGCGGGCCGGGTGCCTTGTTGACTACGAAAACCGGAAGAAAGTGGCTGTGAATTTGGATGGTCTAGCCTTCAGTAAAGCCTTCATCACTAAACAGAAGTAATGAAGATTGAAAATGGGTCTAAATGATCAAAATATTAAAATAATTTTACTAATATTATAAATTAACAAAATCAGGTTAGATAGAAGCAACACTTGAAAAACTAAGGAAGCTGCCATAATAGCTCATTTATGATTTCTGACAAGAATAATATTAAAACATGTCTATGCAAATGAAAAAAGCCTAAAAATAAAACTGCTATTAAACCTTCAAATTTTGTACTGCCACATTTTTGTGTAAAATTGTACTACTTTCTCGCTCAGTCCATAATTCATGTTGGGATAGGGCAGGCTGAGAAGGATCCACCGAACCAGTCTCATAAATCGGGGATGCGGGCGCATTTGGCCTTCGAAGAATGCAGCTCCTGAATTTGGACACAATAATGGAATATTATCTGTTAAACACCTGCAGTCTGTTCTCTAGGTTTTCAGTGTTTTTGCAAACCTTCATTAAACCCTCTAAAATGTTTGAACCCAATTTTGAGCATTTGGATTTGGACAAGACACCCCTCTACCTTCCTTGAATCAAACAAGCCTTAAGCAGTAGCTGAAATGAAGTCAAATGTTGTCCTTTTAGAAGGATCATCTGAAGTAAAACTATGAATTAAAACTCAAACTGGACAGATGTCTGTACTTCAGTCTTGTGATGCTTTATATCTGCCATGTTTGTCTTACTAACGCTCAAACTGTTCAGTGGCTACTGTTTTCATGCTTTCTCTCTCTGTTGTTGTTGTTGTTGTTTTTTTGTCATTTTCTTGCATCTGTTTGTTTTTCAGAGATTGAAATCTGACTTTGAAAAGCTGTGAAATAATAACCAGCCACTGCTTCCAAAGGCTTGAACTTTCATTGCAACTTATCTAGACTACAACTAAAACCTGCTGACACTATTCCTGTTCCCTCTCCTGCTACCACCATCTTCACTCTCAATGCCACAACCTTCAGCTTCTACAGCCTTCAAGCTGAATCAGGCTCCACACGCTGGTGCTAATTCTAACCTTTTTGACTAAATATATAAGGATTTTTTTCATTTTTATTTTTTCCCCGCTAACAGCAAACCACCTCGCTGATTTGTTGACCYCTCTATCCTCCCGCTGTCTCCGCTGCAGGAACACGGCAGCCGCTCCATGTTCTACCGCAGCCCAGCAGGTCCCCCCGTCCCTCGCTCGCCCATATCTGCAGTGCCCCCGTGCTACCCCGAGTGGGGGGCCGCTGTCGCGTGCGACGCACGCCCGCAGCCTGGCGTGGGACAGCGAGCACTTCATGAGCCTGCTGCCACGCCCCATTCACAGCCACACGCCGGCACGCCTGTCCCTGCAGGAGACACACCTGGCAAAGTGACCTGTCCACCACCTGCGACCACCATCGCCAACTCGGAGGAGTCACCGTGGAGACGTCGAAGCAGCTTTGAGCCCCACCTGCCCGAGTCCCCTTTTGAAATCGATGATGCCGATCTGCCAGTGAGTGAGGTCTGACCTAGGTTACTGGACTTAAAGGCTCGCTTCTCTTGATGGATGCTGACTGGGAACTGATGGATAAACAGGAACCTCTGTTTACTAAACAGAGCTGTTTCACAGACTCCTCTTCTGAGCTTTTCAATCCGAGGTGGGGTCTGAACTGCACTTTTGTGCCAAAGGCAGCAGAGTCCTCTCCGAAACCCCTCAGCCTGTCTGCTGTCCCAGTTACAAAGGCACAGGTACTCGTCAAGAATAGGTGTTAAAACAAACAGCAGGTTTTACTTGTTCTGAATAAAATTCAGCAGCAGAGCTTTATTTTATGTGGGCACAAAGACTTTTGTAAACCACTTTGTGCCAAAAACTAAGGAAGCTTGTAAGGATGCAACCTTTTTTTCCTAAAAGGAGTGTTTAAACTACAGACTGGCTTCTTGGCTCCTCTTAAATGAACTAAAGCTAGATTCTCTTCTCTATCCACACACTCATTACAGCAACACTGGACAAAACAGGACTGTAGACTTAAGTGTTTTACAGCTCATCTTTGGAAAGGTGCCACTGACCTCGTTTTCATTTATGAAGGAGGGTGACACAGACCTTTTAGTTCACAGAATAAACCGTTATTAACCACACACCTAACCCTACCGTGAGCGTATTTTATAATTTAGAGAACTGCAGTTGGTAGAGTCAGCTATCAGCCTCCTGTCATCAGAGAATAAAACTGTACGAAGACCAAGATTAGTCACTTAAGTTGCATGCTAATATTTTAATAACTCTTCAGGTTGTCTTTGTGTTTTTTGTTTATTTGCAGATGTTCTGGTTGTTGTGAGTTTTTGCAGACTAGAAAACAGATTTAGTTTTTATATGCTTTTAGACCTGTTCCCTGTCCCGTTTTCTTGTATCTTAATTGCCAGTCTAGTTCTAGGCAGCTGCCTCATGGTGTTATTTAAAAATGTCTCACTGTAATCCTGCAAAATGATGTACACTAATCTTTTTTTTTTTTAAAGTCTGATAGAGCCAAGCTATTTCACTCCCATTTATGTCTGATGTAACTGATTTGAATTGTTTCTATTTATTAATTGGATGACTTGAATGAAATAAACACTGAAAATATGCTCAGGTGTTTTTTTTATAAGTTTATGGTGGAGCATGAGAGCTTTCAAAAGTCTGAAAATCACAGTTTAAATTACCTCTGTAATTGAATTAAATTGCTCAAATCCTCCTCTGCCCTCTTGTGGAGAGAGAGTAACCTTACTTCAAAAATGATTTGTTTTGCAAAACTCGCTAGAAAGAACATCACATTGGACACCATGGACCCATAAAACCTCTAAGTTACAGCCTTAGACAAACCTCCACATGTGAACTAAAGACCAAAATCAATCACAAATTGTTCGATTATTCAATTCCTAGGCTTAAAACCATCTTAAATAATAAATGTTTATATCCAGCAAGTAAAATGTTCAGTTCCTCACATAAATTATTTTAAAAGTAATTTTAAAGAAGTCAAAACTGAAAGAATTATTGCCGTAAAAACTGTTTTCAAATAGACCATTATAATGATTGACCTGTGTAACTGCATGTTTTTCACATTTCTTATTGCTTCAGAGGTTTATTGCATGTTTTATTATAATTTTAATCTACGACCACAAAAGYACAGAATATTTATTCAGGAAGCTGTGATAAAGCACTTCTTTTTACAAATTATTAATGCATGAGTGCAAGAAGTTTTTATCATCTTATAGTGATGTGTTAAATACATRTTCAGCTTTTACACCTTAACTGAACCTGCAGATAGATACAAAGCAAGACAGTGGAATAAATCTTAACATTTAAGAGAGGGGCTTATGTATTTTCCAGGCACATAGTTCAGTTCTATACCACAATCAAGGTGTTCTGAAAATTCTGTATAAATCAAAAATAAATTTGACTTTGCATATCATAGCGAACACCTCGAAATTGGCCTCTGTCTCTTTAAGAATCTCCTACCATTTCTGACACTCCCCACTTACAACAATGCTTCGGGGGCGGGTAACTCCAAGTTGATTTTGCACTATTACCCCCCACCCGGGGGGAGTTTTATTCAGTCAGCGTTTCAAGAGTTAAAGCTGAACACATAAGGAGGGAAAAAAAGGTTGTTAGAGTCTTAAAGCAGAAGCTTAGATGTGTTTAATTGGTTTATTCAAGGCTTTAAGTGGGATTTTTAGACATTATACTAAAGTCCATTTTTGTTCCTTTACGATCTCGGTTCCCAGCTGAGACGTCATCGCAGACGAATGTGGAGGGATCACACAGACCTCAGCTGGGTCCATCCTTGGCAGTGCTCTCCGGCCTTGGTTGGAGAATGGGTGTTCCTTATAGATGAGGTTGTTTTCATCTCAGAGCTTCCCACCATTTCTCCCCTATAGTGTTCCCACTTTACAGTCTGTCACTTTCATTCATTTTTACATCAGCCAACAWTGTGTTTGTTTGCATGAGAATTATAGGGCACCTTTTTTTTTTACTCAAACAAATGCCCTCTCATTTCATAGAAACAGAGGAATCCAGAGTGAAAGCACACTTCCTGTTTCGGCTCATTTATGCTCCTTTCTTATTAACTTCCAAATAGAGAATCTTCTGTTTACGCAGGGTTTCTGGTGCACCACAGGGTGTTTCCTCCCTCAGTTTTCCCTGCAGCATTTCAGAGACGCTTTCCCCCCTTGGACTCCATACTACAGGGGTCTTTCAACCATCGCCTGCGCCCACAATCAATCACATTGTTCCAAAGCATTTTATGATGCTGATTTACTGCAGCGCAGCTTATTGGACTCAAACAGCTCACCACAGTCATCTACATCCAACAGAGGCTTGTTCAGTTCTATTTCTACTAGAAATGTGTGCCTTTTCAGCCAAAAAATAAAGATAAATCAGTGGCTTGGACTATCAAGAGGGTTTGGCACACATTTTTGATGACACTTAATTTTCATTAAGTTTCAGACAGCAGTATTTGGCCATATGCTCATAACACAATGTATATATTATTATTTTAAATAAATGTTTTCTTGAAATCTTATCTTTAACAAAAGTGGCAAAAATGCTTGAACTAATAAATAACTCTTTTCAGCTGTAATGCTTATAAATATGAATAATTCAGAGGGAAGCAAATTAAAAAATAATAATAAACTCTAATGAATCCCACAGGGTGTTCAGGAAAACTTACCKTCCCTTACTTTTTCTTTTTTACTTTTTTCTTTTTATTATTTGTCTACATGTTTGCTGTTCTGTAAGTAGATCCATATATAAGTGCTTTCACACTCTGCAGGGGTCCGTTTGCCCTTCCAGACTCAGCAGGGGGGYAAAAGGAGGAGTAATTATTCACAGACCTTCCAACGTGTGAAGCCTAAACAAATAAAAGCAGCAGTATTTTCTATATTGTTTCTTTTACACTCCCACCTCTTACTTTGATTTATTCCCTGGTTGTCCAGTCTCTYCAGTAGGAGCATCAACTCGTCCTCTCGGTGGGTCACGTGAACGCACCACTCGGTTTGTGGAGTTGTGCCAGCACAAACGTGCGCAGAGTGGATGCGCAGTGGTTCAGTTAAATGCCTCTTCAGCTGGAATGACGCCCCTCTTACTGCTCTGAGTTCTCTCATCCTGCAGCACCGACAGCTGGGATTTAACCTTTCTTTTTATACTTTTATTTTTTTAAACTTTCCTATAGTTTGAGTCATGTTTTGGTGCTTGTTCCTGTGCGCAATGTTTGCGTCGTKGCCGGCTTACGCACAGCTCTCCGGCCGGTATGTGGTGGGATGTCCCTCTCAGTGCGACAAATCGATGTGTCCCCGGGTGCCGGCGGACTGCGCGGMGGGACAAACCCTCGACGCCTGCCACTGCTGCCCGGTGTGCGCCTCCAGCGAGGGGGAAGCCTGCGGCGGCGGCGGCAAGCTGGGGGACCCGGTGTGCGGAGAGGGGCTGGAGTGCTCGGTCTCCGGCGGGGTGGCCTACTCGGCCACGGTGAGGAGGAGAGGCAAGAGCGGGATCTGCGTGTGCAAGACCACCGAGCCGGTGTGCGGGAGCGACGGGGTGTCCTACCGGAGCCTCTGCGAGCTGAAGAGGGTCAGCCGGCGCGCGCAGAAGCTGCAGCAGCCACCTGTTCTGTTCATCCAGAGAGGTGCCTGCGGGAAAGGTGAGCCTGTTTTTCATCAAGTGTGGGGGGAAAAAAGCGAATGTTTATGTTGAGTTTCACATATAAACATGCACATTTAATCCATGTTTTGAAAAAAAAAAAAGGTAATTTTAATGCCCATGCCATATGCACTAATGCACCCCCATACCACCAGAGAGGCTTTCTTTTGAACTGTTCTGAGAGAAGGCCTGATGGTCCCTTTCCTTTTTTTATGATAGATGTGGTGCAAATTATAAGAAATCAGATTTGCCTGACCCCAGGACAGTTTTCCACTTTGTCTCAATCCACAATGAAAGTGGGGAGTCTTCTTTGCGTGATAGAGCTTTAATCAGCAATTTTGGGTTTGACAAACTGTGTCTACGGACAAGRATTTGTGGAAGGGTTCCTGGGTCCATGCAACTTCTATAACAGAATCAGATCTGTTTGATTGTTGCGTTTGCATTTCTACAACTTTAATCTTACGGACTTTTTGTTGCCTTTTTTTGTTGTTGTTGTTTTTTTTAATTTTTGACAAGTTTGAAAATTCAAAGTGCATTCAGGTTTAATCGCCATACATGTCTACAAGTTGATACGATTTTCATCCCACTATTTTTTTGTCCATTTCATTTTACCTTCACTCTTCCTTGCTCTCTCTGGAGTCTGATCCTTCAGTTTCCCCTGGATGTTTGGGGTCTGAAGTTGACACAGATGTTGCAGCTCAGAGTGGCACACAATTGCCGTGTGTCTTGGACAACAAGCGTCGCCATTCAAGTGGGTTTCTCTCTTGTTCCTGCATTAGAAGCAGCCTCAGTCAGTCAAAGGGCTTWTTTTTCTACTTTTGTCTGACTGTATGAAGTCATGAGTTTCCGCCCTGGTGAAAACACTTGATTAGCTTTGGGATTACCTCTGAATATCTGACTTACACATTGTCCACGACATTATTTGATCAGAAAAATATTTGAAATAAACWTGAGTATGTGAATTCTAGCATGTTTAAAGTACATAAAAGGGTGTAATTTCATAAGTATTCCATCCTAATCAGAGGAACYATTATGAACATCACTCTCTTGGAGCGGCTCAACTGGGAAAACACTCTGTACAGTTTACCCAGCAGGCCATTCATCATCATCAGTGTGGTATGTGTCTATTTCTCAAAACACAACGTGAAACACTCAGGATTGAAAAATGATCAAACGCTTGCACGCATGTAAGGCTACAGCTGTTCAGATACTGTGTCATGCTGCAGGTTTTTTGTGTCTTTACTTTTTTTGTGTGGCTTTTAGAAGTGGGTACCATCTGAAAGCTTCAACACCTGTCGCCTCAAAGGCCTAAAACTTCCCTCAAGGCTGTGAAACTCACTGTATTTTCCTCGTAACAACTGCTTCCTCTCCTTTTCTCTCTCTCTCTCCTCAGTTTACGTTTCTTTTGTCACTCATAAATCACACAGAACAGTCACATGAAGGCATTCCTGGCACCGACTCAAAGCCACGATCCCTCCTCTAAAGAAGACGGCTTAAAACGGGCAGAAGACACCAAGAAAAACCCGAAATTAGCAGCTCCTACTTTTTTTTTTTTTTTTGGGAAAGGTTTACTTGTACATGAAGAAAACGTGTGGGCAGACTGAATCGCCACATTTGTTGTCAGTGTGGCAGCAACTGACATGGTTACTGTAAGTCACTCTCAGGCAGCAAACCACGTCTGAAACAGATTGTGGTAGTGCTACTTGATTAGTCAGCACATTCTGCAATAAAATGAGTCGTATTTCAGTTTATGCTTTTTTTTAAAAAATCCAGTTTCAGAATAACGGAGTCTGTTACAGTATTTTCGATTTCTTCTACTCCAGCGTGAGTTGTGATCAGGTTTTGCACATGCTGCAGGAGTTGACAGCAAAATAAACTCAACCCCTCTCTGAGGTCACCGAACTGCCCTGCAGCCACGGCCYCGCGTTAAGAAAACATATGCAAGTCCAGTTTTATGAGCTCATTTTRTGTCTGGACCGTAAAGACGCTGATTAAACAAGTAGTTAGTTTTGGCAAAGGAAACTGGGTCGCGTTATTAGCGTGACCTTTTCGACTCATTAGTGACCGTTTGGTGGGGGGGCGGTAGTCTAAAACTTTTATCAACAGGAGAAGACAGAGCGGCGATGGAGTCATTTATGTGTTGCACGTATGTGGGTCATCCAGACGTTAACGGTGACTCYGATTTGATTTCAGAACCGCATGTTGAGGTCATTCAGGCATAGTGAAAAGTGGATCGGTGTGAGGGAGCTTAGAGGTGATTCATGCTATTCTTTTGTATTTTAACCCAACAGTTTGTAGCTGCTGTCCCTCTTCTCCACTGGCTGATGTTACAGAATGCACTCGATGACTCCGACTGCAGGGGTCTGCTGAATCTGCACATTCTTCTTATGCCTGTCTGAGCCACGCAAATTATTAAAGCATCATTTTAGCTGCCGTGTCTCTCTTCGCTCTGCAGGTCGAGTCGATATCCGCTACAATTTTTGTTTTCCTCGTCTGTTTTCTTTCCTGTTCTCAGTGTTCTCTTGCTCTTGTTTACTGTCACAATATAAAGGTCACACTCTTTGAGGTTTTTACAGAGCATTAGGRTTACTGTGTCAGTACTTCTTTGAGTTCACTCCAACGAGAAGGATGTCTCTGCAGTCACTAAGAGTTTCCTGCTTTGTGGGAGGAGTTTGTCAAAGACGTGATTGGTCTGTTTGACTTTTGTGGGCATAGTTTGTTCAAGTTTCTAGTTTGTTCAAGATGTGATTGGTTGGATTGACTATTTTGGGTGGGGTTTGAAGAAGCTGGGAGCAGCTTAGTGTAGTGTCGGTAYGGTTCYAAGCCATTTCCATTAGGCCAGATTCATGGAACCAGCCCTTTTTTTAAGTACCTACTTCGTTGTGGTTCCAAGCGGTCCCAGTCGACACCAAAATGCAACGCCAGAACACTGTTCGTCACTGATTGGCTAGGGAGTGGAGTTACTGGTTGCGTCTAAGCTGCTTTTACAACAACTCCAGGCGTGATTTTTTTTTCAATTGTAGCAGTGACATTAGTCGTGTTTCCATCCAATTTTAATTCAAATTTTTAGCAAATTTTTAAAATTTCAGAACTTATTCAGCAAATGTGTTTCCATCTCTCATTTTGCGCATTAACCTTTTTTTTTTTTTTTTTTTTTKAAAACCCCCAAAAACACCTCCACCAACCGCCCAAAACACACCCACTGGAACCGGACTGGAATGTCAATGGAAAAGCACCCGAACTGACCCGTTCTGACACTGACCATACTGACACTACAAGTGGCACTAGTGGAAAAGGGGCAGTAGTGCGTTCACAATAATTTTGCTATTACCATTAGTTCCTCTTTAAGTTGTCCAACAAGACAAGTCAACTCCACCAATCACGTTTAAGACAAACTCCACCCACACATGTAACTCTCCCTATGTACTTTAGAGACCCCTRCTCCAACTGCTGCCATAAAATTTAACTAGTACTTTGGCATTGAATGAACCAACCAATCAGTAACTTTGTGCGTCTTTGTAAAGGCAGACCCTTTTTAGCAGTTTGTATTGTTACACTTTATGGTGTGCAACAACGCAAAGCCAAAAATGAGTTACATTACTGGGAATCTTAGAGAGGCAACTGTTGCTCCCATCATTCTACTATGAGTAGATCTTTAGGACTAAACATCTTATGAAGCTTACATGTARATCAGACCATGAAAAARKTTTTTTWAACAAAGCCAGAAGGTTGTTTATCAAACTTGAAAGATATCTTTCAGCATAATAAATATTTGTGACAGTATGGTTATTATAGAACAAGTAGAACTCCTTTGAAAATATTGTAAGGAAGGCTTTTCTCTCTAAAACGAAATTATGGCGACCTACATCAACAGACACACCATGAAGCACGGTGGTGGTGAGATGATGATTTGGGCTTTTGCAGCCGCAGAACCTGAGTATCTTGTCACTGAGKGCTAAGTATCACTGAGAATTACATTTAGAAGCCTATTCTCAAAACACTATTTTTACCACATCAGCAGCATCTGCAGCTCATCCCAGCCCTCTGTTTATTTTGAAACTTCGAAGCGTTTTCCTAAGTCCTAATTAATTTTCCTCCTTTTTCTTATGTTGACATCATGGCACAGATTCTGCACCTGCTGGTCACGTTGGACCCTTTTAAGTTTAAATAATTTGCTACTTATTTGTCACCTGCACTCTGAGGCCACACTAATTTGTTTACATAGCGGCTTAAAACTGACCTTGAGCGTGAGAATAGAAACGYTCTTTATGCTTTGGTTGGTAGCAGTGAAAAAGGCTCACTGAAGCTCACTACAAAATAATTATAAATAACATTTTCCTTTGCGATCAAGGAAAATTGAAGATTTAACACATGAGGGTTAAAAAAGGCAGATGGAACCAGTCATCCAGTCACAGCCGCAGGAAATGGAGTTATCCGAAATGAGACGACATGTGAGAATTTTCACAGCAAAGCAGGAAATGATGACTGTGAACAAGCTTTAAGCCTGTGGCAGGTGTTAAAACAGAGCGTGAGACGTCATTTATGCACATTATGTTTTAAATCCAAATATTTGTTTGAATAAAACTTTAAACAGAATGTGATGTGGCTCAGATTGCATGAAGCTGAAACATATTTCCACATTATTAATTTGCTGAAAATCATTATATTTAGCTTAATTTGCTTTTGTTTAGGATTACCATAGAACTGTATTCACTTCTGCTATTTTTTTTTCAGCCCTTCAGTTTGTTTTTAATGGAGAAAAGGCAGTTTAGACAAATAAAACTCTGGGTGATGTGGGAAAACTGACGTTCTAAAACAAGTTCAGGAACTGGGACTCCTGTAACGTGCAGAATAAGAGGGCATATGAGGTGCCAGTGAGGCTTGTGAGTGTTGGAGATTGTTGGGAAAAAATACATTTAGGTTATATTGTTTTAGTTAGAAAATCAGTTGGGAATGTTTTACCAGTTTCCTGGCATTTATTAGTTTAACCATCTCCAGGAACAATCCCTCCGACATCTGACTGTTATTAACGGATGCTTAACTTTTGTTTGGGGCTTTTATTAGGAGTCACCCAATTTCTCCACATGTCCTCCATATGGGAGGCGGAGGGTCTTTACTTGCAGCAACCYGAAGCAATTCATTCCTCTCTTTATGTCAGGGTGTCAGGTCTGTGTTTCTGCAAAACACTTTATGCTGTTTCATTAGATTCACTTTGTGTTCAACCTGCAAGCCGTAAACTTGGCGTTTGATGAGAATGGGTTTTGGTTTCCATAAAAAATAAACTCTGCACACATCTGATCGAAATACTCCTATCGCAGCCTTTTGTTAAAATTTGAAACACATCTGACACTCTGAACCTTGATGCAGTCATCTCCAAAATATTTGAGTTTGTGATTRTGTAACACATGAAACATTTCAGGGCCCCATAGGACATTTTGTTAATTCCATAGATGGATAGATGTTAAAGCTGAACTGACAGCAGGGAAATGCAACAAATAAAAAATGGAGTGAGAAAGTGCAAATGTAACTTTGTAATGTTTGTTTTTACCTTATCAGCAATTCAGTTATTTAGAATTTTCTCCCAGCACTTTAATTTACAAATAGTTTATCTTCTGTTTTTTTATAACCTTATTTCAAATGTAACACTGTTTTGAATTAGATTTAAAGAAAAATGAGCTTTCACGTGGGAAAATTATTTGTGAAAAACAAATAATTAGTCCAAGACCACAGGATGTCTCATGATTTTTTTCATATTTATTGACATTAGACTGTGATGAATTTTACAGTGGATTTAACTGATTGTTAGCTATGATGATTTCACATCACCACAGCAGTCTTTAGGTTCAATTCATTAAAATAATGCTGGCTTCTACAGCTTTAGTTGTAGATTAGTTGTTCAGTTGTGAAGCCATTAATTTTTTAGTTTCTGTCGTAAGTCTGGGTTAAATTGAGATATTTTTTTCCCTGCAGTGCAATCAAGGACATTTTCAGGCACTTAATTTCTACAATTATATTTACTTTCATGACTACTCCTTAAGACTATTAAAGGTACAGTTCCATATCTTGGGTTGTTAGAAATTATATTAAAAGTGTAAATTAAAAATGATTTGCAGGGATTTGTTGAAGTGGAAATGACAGGGAGCCTGTGTACTCCAGAAAGAAATCACAAGTTCAGGAGTTCTGCTCTTCTGAGCCACGATCCTATCGCAGCMGACCACAAACCGCCCAGATCTGAAGCTAACATGGGGGAGAAAATGACTCCAGTGTTTCCATTACCTTCCCGTCATACTATGGCGAGAAGGCCGCGTGGCATTTATCTCAATCAATGCTTGATTTAACGTCCTGGAAGAGAAACACATGTGGAGGTTTTAAAAAGAGAATGTTTGCTTAAGAGCAGCTTCTTTYGATGACTGCTGTAAATTTTGATCCTATCTCTGCTCAACAGCTATGGGAAGAAACGCAGCCAAGTTGTATCTTCTCACATGCTTCATCTTTTATTGCTTGAGTGATCGCTTGACTCGTCCACACGGAGGTTCATCTTTGTGTAATTTGGTGGAACATCCCAACAAATGCTGCGCAGATTGTCATTAAATCTTGGATCCGACTGTAGAGAACCATCTAGTGATGGTTTAAAAGCTTCCCCCTGCGGGCTGACAAATGTTTCCGTACTGTGTAATTTAGCGGTGTTCCTTATGGCGAGATGGTTCTCACTCCATGCCTGTGTTGGCTTAACTGAACCTCAAGTGGAAAGTGTCCTCATTTCTCAACAGCAATGATGTTTCAGGGCCTTATGGGTGCCCTGAAGCTCTTCCTCATAAAAAGTAGTGACTGAAAACGGTCCTTTCGAGGAAAAAATGATTCAATGTACGTGGCGAAATGAGGGCTTTCTTATGAAAAGATGAAAAGGTCTGAGTCTTGTTTGAGCTTTTGTCTATGTATGACTTAATTACCATTTACAGCGGTCTGAATTTCCTAAAACCGGAGTGGGAATATAGTTGACAAAAGATCTGTTTCTCTGGTAACAAGTTAGTCTGTGAATGGCCTAAATCATGGGGTAAGATAAAGTATTTTCAAAGCATTCATTCATAATGTTTACAGCTCGACTTTGTAAATGAGCATGTGTTTCAGAACTGACCGAGACAGTCTCAGCCACAGATGAACTGTCGTCTTTTCCTTTTCCGTCCTGTGTTATGATAAAGGGCAGTTTTATTTGTCAGTGTTCTATTCTCACTTAACTCTTGCATCATGCAGTATTTTCAGTTTTGTGTTTGTTTTACCAAGGTGACATCTTTTGTGTGTGTGTGTGYGTGTTTTTCCAGCTCAGGACAATCCAGACAGTCCAAGGCACAAATACAACTTCATCGCTGACGTGGTGGAGAAAATCGCTCCGTCTGTGGTTCACATTGAACTTTTCCGCAAGTATGTATGAGCTGCACACCTGTTTGTGTGTGTGTGTGTGTGTGTGTGTGTGTGTGTGTGTGTGTGTGTGTGTGTGTGTGACATTTGGGGGCAATTTTAATACAAAATGCCTACATTTGGGGACAACTGGTACACTTGGAGACAAAAGTCGAGTCCCCGTTTGGTTTAAATGCCATTGGTGGGTTGGGGGTTGGGTTTAGGACCAAGGTGTGAATTGAGTTTAGGTTAATTTTAGGGTCCGGTAGGTACCTGTGAGGTTAGCCTTAGGGTTTGTGGTCAGGGTTAGGCTGTAGAAATGTAATGGAAATCAATGGAATGTCCCCAAATGGATAGCTGTGCAAACATGTGTGTGTAGGTGGGGTAGTTGCAGACTAAAACACACTAAAATTTAGTGGCCATTTGTGCGCTTAACCAGACTGCAACAGCTTATAGAGCTACACACTCTTCTTTTCAGTTTTTCAACTACAGGATCCCACAAATTGTTTTCTTGACCAGTTTTTTGTAAGAATAAATTAACAAAATGATTGGCTAAATCTGATTTTGGTCAATTCAAGTTTATTTATGAAATTCTGATATTTACATTAACCACGTGTAGTGGACCAAAATCAAAACTGGTAGGTCAACTGGCAGCAATTCTTTATTGGTGTTTTATTGAACTGAAAATTTGACCKTGTGCTCAATAAACCAAATGTCTATGTATTCAGTGTAATGTTTTCTCAACTTTTCATAAGAATGTAAAGTTTTATACAGTGAGAAGAAAGGTGCAGCACTAAGGTTTGTTTTGGTTACTTTTTTCTTAATTTGTTAGCAGTACATAAAACAGTAGGAACCTGATAATMAGGTACTTGTCTGTCACGTACCAAKTCAGAACCTTGGRAGTACCCAATATGTACCCAGTACGTGTTATATTACCAAAAGTATTTGCYGACTTATCCAAATRACTGTGCACCGGTGCACTAAGCAAGGTCCATATAGACATGGATGGCGAGTCTGGTGAGGATGAACTTGACTGATCTGCACAGAGTCCTGACCCTMAACCCGWTAGAACACCTTTGGGATKAATYAGRGCAGAGACTGAGAGCCAGGCCTTCTGCCCAACATCAGTATGGAAGAATGGTCCAAAACCCCCCAAAACACACTCCTAAACCTTGTGGACAGMCTTCCCAGAAGAGTTAAAGCTGTTCTAGCTGCAAAGGGTGGATCAATGTCGTATTAAACCCAATGGAGTAGGAATGGGATGTCACCTAAGCTCATATGAGTCAAGGCAGATGAGCCAATACTTTTGGCATAATATTGTATGTACAGTGGACCAGGCTGTATTTTGAAGCAACTTCTTACCTGGATACGTACCCAGTATATCCAGGGACTTACTTGGTATGTGCTGAGCTGTATTATGGTAAATGATAAATGGCTTGAACTTACTGTATATAGTGCTTTATCAAGTCCCTACAGACTCCAAACCATATCATGTATTTGTCTTTGTTTTTGAATTTTAATTTTGAGGGTCCTTAACTTCGTAAAAACCAACCAAAATGGTGTCGCATTAGAGGAGCCTCTGCTATGATCTGTTCACTAACCCATAAAAAAATCAAGTTTTTGAGCGCCTGAATGCTAAACTGATGGTTAAACTGGTTGTTCTGTATATCAGAGCTGTCACTTGCTAAGCAATCAGTCCATCTCTGTTTTTAACTGTACTTATCTGTAAACCCTGTAACAGACTCTAACACAATGACTCGTTTAAAGAAAAGAGAAAATACCCAATGGCTTATGTCTTCTTCCCACTGTCCTCCCCTGTTCTTCCGCAGGATGACATATTCCAAGCGTGAGGTGGCTGTGGCCAGTGGTTCTGGTTTTGTTGTGTCAGAGGATGGCCAGATTGTGACCAATGCCCACGTTGTGGCCAATAAACACAGGGTGAAAGTGGAACTGAAGAGCGGCGCCTCCTACGATGCCAAAATCAAAGACGTGGATGAAAAGTCGGACATCGCTCTCATCAAGATCGATGTACCGGTCAGTCAAAATGCTACACAGACAACTGGTGGTTAGAGATGTAAAATATGCATAACTTAAGCTTTATCACTAACTTTTATTTTGTCTATGTATAGGGATCTCTTTAACCAACAAATTGATATAATGTATTTTTAATTTTTCACCAGCAACAAWGTCCAGTTCATCTTCATAGAAGGGGCAAGACCTAAATAAGATGTCCCCTTCTGGCTTCAGACCTTACCTTTTATACAGTTTAAGTCAACGTTAACCAATTGTCATGTTCTGAGCAGTAATAGATTTTGCATTATAAAAATACAGGTCGACAGTTTTAAGTTTCAAAAATAAGCATACATGCAGATATTTAGGAGTCAATTGAGACGACACAGTTTATGATGTTCTCCTGCTTCGAATTTCAGCCAAAATAAGATCCAAACATGTGCTCATTTTTCGTAATGCAGCAGCTAAAGATCTGCTGTAAAACTTGAAGTCTGGCACGAAGGCGCTATAAATCTAGCTGACTGTTCGGAGCGTCTGAGACGTAAAGTGCAGGTGTAACCAGACGAGCGTGTAAAAAGGCATCTGGCTGGCAGTAAGCCCTGATTCTGTCTGTGTTCAGACACAATCTGCAACAGACAGCCATGAAACAACTCCTCTCAGGAGAAACAATAACTTTCACCTGGCAGGTAAAAAAAAAGGAAGAAAAAATAGTTAGTGTTTCAAAGAAAACAATTTTCTGCACGTGACAAAAGGTTATCCAATTGTCAGATTTTCTCCTGTTCTCCATACACCCCGTCTGTTTTTATTTGTCCGTTCGCTGGACAAAAATGGACCCACGCTGTCCACAAGTCCCGGTCCATAATGTGTAGGAATGTACGGCAGAGATCCAGAGCCTGTTGACTGCAGGTTGTAACAGAGCTGAGTGTTTATGGACTCTCTCTCATGGCTGGGTGACAAAGCTGACATTATGTTTACTAGTGCAACACAAGGTGCAATACAAAGACCCTCAACTCAGAGGAAGAACAAACCTATGAAGGGTTTCAGCAAATCGCAGTGACAGATGTTTGTTTCTGGGATGGAAGCTGTTGATGACAAGCAGCCTTTCTTATCCTCAGCAGAACGAACAGATTCAGAAGTGACCAGTGACAGCATGACATTGTTTTTTGTCTGATATTTTGTCTGTATATTACAGCAGGGGGGTTGACTTTTAAAATGCATGAATGAATGTCTACACCTGATTATCTTTTGGTGACATGATTCAAGATGGCTGCCACTACAAATTGACACACACACACACACACACACACACACACACACACACACACACACACACAC